CACTTGATCTCCCATGACAATTCAATTGTGCTCGACTATGAGAGGTTGCCGCCACTCTCAGAGAGTGAATGACGACGCCCAGAGTAGAAGCATAGCAGGTAACAACTGAATCAAAAGAATTCTAGCCCTTGCTAAGATCAACGAGAGCATACTGACTATCCTAGCTAATCCTCACCTTTGTCTTCCGCTTCTGCAAGGCGATCCAGTTCTGCTTGGGTACTCTAGGAAAGGCCGCATGTTTAGATTTTTGGGTCGACTCCTCTATACGAGCCTTCCTTTTTCGCCGATGGCCCCCATCCAACGAGCCTCCTCCCATAGACCATCCCATCAACCATCTTTGTCACCGACTCTACAATCTGCATCGACATTAGTTCCTTCAACGAACCAGCCACACCAACTGACTCTATATCGCTTGTTCTGTTATCGACTCTAGCACAAACTCCTCTGACAATCACCCTTCGTCCGCAGGCAAGGTCTATCTAGTAGAGCTCTTCATATCCAAGGAAATGATACCCCACTCAGAAGGATGGGCGCTGAACGACACTACTTATGGCAAGATGTTTGACATCCATTTTCGGTGCGACTTTATTCACTTTGACCAGACTCAACGTCATCTTCCAATGTGTTGCCGTCTTGGGTATCTGCAACAGAAGGTGCTTAAATTTTCTTTAATATGTACTCCTCTCAATGAGGATCAAATTATCGGCTCCCTTCCTCTGAATGACAATGATAGAAAGAGAAACACAATAAGTAATAACTTCATCTGCTAGATCCTCAAGTGGCCTCTCTTTTATCCTCTCTTCGGCATAGTAGAACCTCGTTTGGCCTAAAGGATGTTCGAAGCCTCTCAATCATCCTCAATCATCTTGCCAAAGGTTTTGGGTTCTAACAACCTATTGATCACTGAGGCTTTCATATATTGTTGACTAGCTATTGATTTCCCCTCAACCCACTTCGACTCCAACTGCACCTCATGCGAAACTTGGTCTTCGAAAGATGAATGTTAGTCAGCATTGTCCAGATCGACCATCTGCCAGCCTCGTGCACGAAGTAACATTCGATCTCGTATAAGCGAAGAGCTAACATCTTATAATCTGCCTGAATCTTCTCAATAGTGTCCTCACGCGTCTTCGAAGGGGGCGGAAGATCTTCAGGATGATTGACTCCTTACTTGCTGACAAGCTTACTATCTTCTTCCGCCACATGCTTCCAATCTGCTGTCCACAGGATCAGAGCCTTGTTCAAGCTTTTGGCCGATCTGGAGTGTTTGTACTATTAGAAAAAAAATTCAATGGTTAAGCAGAACAAAGTAAGTCATTAATTAGTCGGAAAATCAGAATACCTAAAGCCCTTTATATCTCTGACACCGTTAGCTCTTGCAGATGAGTTTTCTACGACATCATATGAACTTAGATTCGCAGTTGAAGGATCCAATATTGCGATGGGCCAAGCATCGTGGCAACCTGTTGAACAGATGGGCCTTCATCGCGACGATCGGTTCAACATTATTTGGAACCGC